GGAACTGGAAAGGAAATGCCAAACGCGACACCAAAATAAATCTAAAAAGTACTACGAGAAAGAAAAATAGAAACTAAAAACATAAACCACTCCATCATCGGAGTAGAAGATGATCCACCAGGTGCGTCAGGTGCACGGTCAATCAATGTCTAGAGCATGGCTTGCAAAACCTGCTGACTCTCCTAAGTCGCCTTAACAGTGCTCTCAATGTTCTTAAGGTCCATGTGAAATGCATTAAGGCAAGCATTGAGATTAAAATAATCAGCTCGGGTCATAACATCCGGTGGTGGTGAAACAGGAGTAGCCGGAGCAGTAGGGGCATCAACAACAGGGGGAGTCGGAGCACCCCAATCCAACTCATCCCTAATGCGGGCTTGGCGAGACGTCTTAAGCTGCATAGTCCTTATTTTTTTCCTCATGACGGGGTGCTTGGAACCCTGAGTTTTTGAGCAGCCGTGTGACAAGATATGGGAATGGAAATGCCTAAGTGGTGGCATTGCTCGACCTCACCAAGATATGGGTATGAAAATGCCCAAGTGGTGGCATTATAGATCTGGAGGATTTGGTCCCAGACAAGCTGCGGGATACAAAACTAAAGCTCATTCTCAACAGCATAGAGGGCTTGCAAAAAGATCCCCTTACGCTCGGAATGTTCCGGCACATAAAGGACGTTTTTGGCCAGGACTGAGTCCACAAACCACAATCGGCATGATAAGAATGATTTATTGGTGCGGGTGGTTCGATTGGCGGTATATTGGTTGTGGTAGATTTTGCTCACCATATTAGACAATGTTAGGCCAGTTAGAGCTTCTCCATATAGAGGCAAGCCTACATCATCCATTAGCGATGCCAGTGGGTAAGCCAAAGTCGCAGCAAGATTATTAAGGTTAAATTCAAAAGCCTCGCCATCAATGGTCGTCTTAATGATATCCGGCTCTGCACATGAATGGAACATGTTTGCATAAAGCAGGCGGACCACACATGGATAGTAAGCACTAGTGCGTGGCTTGAAAAGAGATTCGAGGCTACGCTCCATCAATTCGCAGACTGCCCATGCCGTGTCCGGATTCTTGTCGAAACCATTTTGGATGTCAAATTTGGCTTCGGTTTCGATTGGCCAATTTGCCCAATTTCGCGTGGGAGCCTTCTCAGAAGGGCTCTCAGAGGAGCAAGCGCACTTTGAAGATGTTTTGGGTGCCATTTGAGTGAAAAAGTTGGTTTAGGAATTTTTACAAACACCTGGCGTGCACAAAAATTGGGAAGAGCGACAAAAGGGTATTAGAGATGTGAAGACCCCAAATTTTGGACAGGCAAATGACAATCTACAACCTCCAAATAGTCACCAATCTTCCCAATATACAATTCTGGCCTCCATTGAACCACAAATTAAAAGAAAGGGAAAAGAAAACTTACCCCAAGTTGAAGACCCAAAAGCTCCCTTCTGCTTGGCAATAGAAGATGATGAGGATAAGGAAGATGGATGAAGGATGGAGATGGAAGGAGATGGATGAAGGATGGAATGAGAGTGAAAGTGATAAGCGCCAAATATTGCATATTCAAGCGCCCTTACTTGCATTACTTAAGTCCATTAGTGGAGCTTAATGTACAGTTTTACTTTATTTGTGTATCTCTGTCTTGTTTTAGGTCGGTTTCCCCGAATATGATTAAAGAAGCGGTTTTGACAATCTTTTCTTGAAGTAGATGCACCGTTGCCGGGGAGCCATTGTCTGGACCAAACCTCGTAAGTTGTCGTATGTGTGGAGTTTGTGCCATAATGCTCATAATGGTAATCGCGTCGATGGATCAGCGTGGAGGGGTTCGCGCGAAGCTTTGATATGTTGCAGTCACAAGGCCTCGCGGGCGCCCACCAAATACCCATCTTTTTGCCTAGTTTCACGAGGCCCCGTTGAGCTCCCGTGGGCCCCCGCCGAGCTCCTACGGGCGCCCGCCAAACATACCAGTAGCCATCTTAGGAAATGTAAGCCCCCGCGGGCGCCCGCCGATCTATAGACAGCAGGTCACTTGCTCCTTAATTCAAGCTGTATCTTGTCTCCTAAGTAATTTTCTGTGGCTCTAATTGCTCTAGAGGAGAGAGCTCGTGATGGAAGGGAGAGAGGGTAGATTTTGGGTGGATAAAAAGGGGTGAGGCTTGTATTTTGCCATATCTCACATTTTAGGACCAAGATAGAGAGAGAGAGAGTAGTATTTTAAGGCTTCTTGAGTTCTAGCTTGTTTAAGGTGCAAAAATGAAGGGTGGAACTTCTTCTTCTCCTTCAATCCTTGCATCTATGAGCAACTAACTCCCTATCTTGGGAGGTGATGAAGCCCCTTATTGTAAGCATGTTCGAATTTTGATTCTATTTTTGGGAAAACAATGTATTTTTGTGGTTGTTCTATAGTCTAGAACTACACTTGATGTAATGAACTGATATTGATATAAATAACATTGTTGAATTTATTTCTTGTCTTAGAATGTAGGGTCTCATGGTTATATGGTTTACATTTTCATGGTGACCATGAAGACGAGATTATGGAATGGTTTTAATGGCATGCTGTTGAGAAATTTGATAGGCCATAGCTTAAGTTCTCCCTTTGATGGTTTATTTTTAATTTTCAGCTCTATGTGCCCTTACCAAGTGATTAAAGGCTTGATGATCTCTAGCTTAGTGAGCATGTATGAAACTACACTTTAGTTTAGGTAGCTAAGCATGTACATCTTTGATAGAATATTCTTGCCCATTGATTTTATGAACTTCTTGAAGATAATGTAGTAACCATGAGTAACTACTTGTCATGGCCATCTATTTATGTTGTTTTTCCCAATTAAATCATATTCTAGCATGTTTATATTATAGGTGGTGAATTCACTTCCCTAGCCCTCTCTACCCAGATCTCCTTCTTCTAAACTACTTACAAATTATTGTTTATTGCATTTTTCAATTTATAATTATAGTGACAAACCAACAAATCTCTACAGCCCTTCATCATTCTAAAAATGATTATAGACACCTAGGTTGCCATAAACTAGCAGTCCCTGTGGTTCGACTTACCTGACCAATAACCCTATTTTACAATGATTTGTGCTATTGCAAAGGTTGATTTATAATTGTGTCATACCTATCAATTTTTGGCATAGTTGCCGGGGACTGCAAATGGTTTAGCAACCGAGGTTCTAGGGTTAACTTTGGTTTGATTGTTAATATTGTGATTTGTGAATATTTCTTGTGTGATTTTGACTATCGTTGTGTTGTAAGTTGTTTGTGAGATTCTAGGGACTTGATGCTCGCCGAGGGAATGCTAGCAAATTTGTAAGTCTAGAGGCCCCCAGGTAAGTTCTTCGACTCTCTAGTTTTGAATTTGTTAGTATCGTGCATGTGATTAGAATTTAGCAATATTAAGTTAAGAAGCCCTTGTCGAGGCTATTTTTCTGTTTATTTTCAATTGCAAGCATCGGTCCTTGTCGTGGCCATTTACTTTCTGTCTTGATAATTAAGGAGAAAGGGAACATCGTATGTGGAGTTGATGGTGATGAAATATTGTGTTGATTATATTATGTGTTGTTGATGTTTGGCCGTAGATCACTTTCCCTACCCACAATCGACTCGCCAATTGACATAAATTCACTTGAAAGAACTCTTAGACGAAACCTTAGGGAATCTATCAAAATCCTCCCAAGCTTTTGAATTAGCTGGATGTCTTAACTCATTTGTCTCATTCACACGTTTCTCTTTATGCCACCACATGTCGAAGGCCGTGTCTTTTGACATAAATAATTGTTGAAGTCTTGATTTCAAAGGGAAGTGCTGGAGAGCATTTTAAGGGATTTTCTTACCCTTACCTTCATGAGGTTTATACCTCGATACACCACACTTTGGATAATTTTCTTTACCTGCATTCTCCTTCCAAAATAGAACACAATCATGTTTACATGCATGTATACAATCATATCCAAGTCCCAAGTCTCGCAACAAGCTTTTAGTCTCGTAATGAGACTTTGGTAACACATTGTTGTTGGGAAGCATATCCTTAAATGCATCAAGCATCATGTCAAATGCTTTATTGCTCATTCGGCTTGTAACCTTCACATGGAATAACTTTAATATTGCTGACAACTTAGAGTATTTTTTACAACCTAGCCACAATTCACATTGTGCATCATTTTACAATCTATCAAAGCTTCCTCCTCCAACATCAACTTTAGGCGAATCTTCTTGTTGTTGTATATTGGTGAAGTTTCCTATTTGTATGTTATCCAACAATTCAAACACATTATCTACATTTCCATCTTCATCGTGGACATTTTCCCTACTGACATTAGCATCAATATTAACATTATTGTTGCTTTGACAGGCCTCCCCATGATATATCCAATTGGTATACCCCTTGTCCATCCCATTACTCAAGAGATGCTGCTTAACTTCTTCAATTTGACGATAAGTTGTATTTTTGCAATGACGACATGGACATTGGGACCTACCGTCTACTTCTGCATGACGGCTAGCCACATCAATGAAGTCGTGTATGCCGTCAAAATACTTTACACTACCCCTAGCGTGATAATGAATCCAAGACTTATCCATGTAACTGCCCAAACACACACACACACACACACATAAAAAGAAGAAGAAAAATGTATATCAAATATAAACAAAAAACTAAATATATATAATTGCAGGTAGGCTCTCACGCGGTCTAAAAGAACGGACTTTTCAACGCACCAAAAGTCAATTAGAAAAATTACACTTTATTACTTTATCAAACCTGACCATAGTTAATTTACTATAATTAGCCAATACATTTATTCAATCTCTCTCTCCTTAATCTCTTCCATCATCCTTGCAATCTCAACCACTACCGCCATAACCACAACATCACAGCCACCATCTTCACTACTACAGCCACAACACAACTACCATATTCATTCTCTAAAATCGGATCCAGATCATTATCTCTTTCTCTATCTTCTTTTTGCACTTTGATTTATTTATTTTTTTGCTCTCTTTATTTTTTTTTTTTACCTTGATGGCTTGACTGTTGGTCTCTTATTTATATTTTATTTATTATTTTTTTCATCGACCCATTATTCCACACTTCATGAATTAGTTTTTTTTTTTTTTTTTTTTGGTTCAAAAGATACCAATTTTTTAGGGTTTGTGAATAAGCACAACCTCTAATAATGGAGTCTCAAACAGAAAGCATATATTGCTTAATTGTGCCATGGAAACAATAAAAGGTCTCTAAATTTGGATTTTTTGGAACTCGATAGCTCAATACTGAAACTGAAATAAGAAAAATCTCCAAATTTTGGCAATTTGCTCAATTTCATTCCCATTTACTTTTTCACGCATAACATTTTCCCTCAAATTTTATGTCACAAATATAATTATGGTAAATTAGTTATGGTTAGGTCTGATAAAGTAATAAAGTGTAATTTTCCTAATTGACTTTTGGTCTGTTGAAAAGTCCATTATTTTGGACCGCATGAGAGCCTTCTTGTATATAATTGAACCCTACAAAAAATATATATAATCTTTCCCTAATAATTGTTAACAATTGAGATTCACAAGCACCGACAACCTTCAACCATACGGAAATTCTAACATAATAATTACAAGAGAAATACATTTCTTCTTTTAAAAAAAAAATGATCAGCAACTTATTATATAATGTCACCTTCATTAATGAAAGATGGAAAAGTAAAGGGGTTCACACTTCACACATAATAGTACATATAATATATGAATGCTAGCTAATTAAATTTGAATTTCGCATAATTATAATTTCAAACTAAAATCTATTAAATTCAAATTGGAGTCAAAGAGAAAATTACCAAATAGACTAAAAGGAAAATTCTACTATAAAACTAAAACAATCATTAGTCCAACTATCTTATATAGAAAAGAGTACAAGTTGTCAAGAAAAAATAAATAAAAAAAAAAATAAATAAAGTAAGAAAGAAAAAATATGATGATGAAGTAAGTTGGACCCATTAAATTCAAATTTCACATAATTATAATTCCAAACTAAAATCTATTTTGTGCAGCCAAAAATCCCTTAATAGACTTCAAAGGCCAAAAATATTTCACCCAGTTCTTGTAAGTGTTATATATTTGTCCAAAACAGTTTATATTCTAGCAATTGTCTATGAAACAATAGAACCAGAAAAACAACAAGTATTACAGTGTAGACTTCTCAAGAAAGTTGAAACCAAATCTAGTTGCAGAATCATTCACTACAAACAACACAATATATATATATATATATATATACATATTGTTTATGATTTTTACCCACTAGAAAACAACTGCTTCACCCAAAAAATGGAAGATCTGAAAAAGAAAAAGAAAAAAAATACAGGTCCTGAACAATTTGGTTCCTTGTGCTTGAAATTTACAGAATATATATATATATATATATATATATTATAACATTATCTTTCCATGCACTATTTAGTAATCTGAAAGCTGCCATCATTTCAGCTCATTCTGCACTCATGGAATTGAAAAGTTCTTGTCTTAAGCTGGGACTGTCAACGGGCACAGGTTGGCCTAAAGCTTGGTGGGATCAGCAACTATATTTAGATCAACAACAATAATTAGACACACTTTATTATTCTAAACTCATTAATAGTCAGTGAACACATTAATGATTTATCAATTCGAATTTATCTCTACTACTGAAATTAACATTTCAAAGATGCTGACAATCCTATCACTAGATTTAGAAAAAGGCCTATATATCTGCAAAAGTTTCATCTACCACTACAAAATCAAACTTCCAACACCAGCAAAAAAAAAGGCAAGACAAAGAAGAGAGGATTTAAAGTAAGTGTTACAGATATCCATGCCTGCTTGGCATTCATTTTGAGTGGCCAAGAGCAGCAGAAAGTTGAAGGTTGAGCTTATATATGGGTGTCGACATTTCCGGTCAAGAACAGTAAACCAACACAACAGTTGAAAACTGATTTTGAAGTCTGGGATGCTATTCAGATTTCATATGTTAATCTAATATATATATAAATAAGTAATAAACATACGTTAAAATAAAAAATAAATCTCTAGAATTATTCTACAAAATATCCTCAGCATTATCCTACAAAATATCACATTTACACATATCTCAAATTTCTCAGCTTCATATTCTATTGCTATCTTTACAATTAGTTACTGGTTCTTTAAATATTTATTATTGAAGTTACTCTTCGATCCTAAAGCTAAGATTCAAAGCAAAGCAAAGTACTAGTAAAAAATACCAACGGGTCAGTGGCCTAGCGGTATCAGGCCCTTACATCCCAAAGGGAGGTCAAGGGTTCAAGCCACCATGGAGGCATGTGTGTGTGAGTATCAACTATGAATTTTTTTTTTTTTTTTTCAAAAAAAAGTACTAGTAAAATGAAAAACAAGAACACTATATAAATATCTAGCACACAAATCCATTTCACTTTACATTCCATGGTGTTAATAGGAGGAGGTAGATAGTGTGAAAGATTAATGCAATCTCATTGCATTTGAGGAGTCAATTTTACATGTGTACACCAACTAATTAATTCATCAATGTCAAAAGAAGAACAAACATATTTATAAATACATAACTCAGAGTTTAATTTGATATATAAGATTACAAATTTAACTGAATCAGTGCATTTCATGTCTCAAAAAGCTTACTTATTACATACACTAAACAATGAACATTGGGCTTCACTACCCAAAAGACATACAAACTCTTATCAACTGGTTTAATTGGATTGCATTGTTCTTTAAGCAGCAGGATATTTAGTCGTTGCTAAAATCAAAAGAGATTGTTGTGTTTCTTAAATTCCAATCAGATGGAAATTGTGGTTTTTACATCATTTGTAACCTGATTTATCATGGAAAAGAATTTAATATTTATGCTTTTAGTTGGTATGCTATATTAAAATTATATATACATTTGAAAATCAGGAGATAGAGCTACTATATCCATATGATCAATGAAAGACCTCTATACATAGTATTTAAGCCCGAGTCTTAGAAAATGGCTTAGGAAGAAACGCAGGCTGCCATGGCTTTCAATTCATCACCTCATTCAAAAACGTTCCCAGAACAATCCCAAGCCCCACCTTGTACATTTACCACATCCAATATCAGTTTCAAAATTTTCACCACCTTACAAACCTGTGGAACACTAGGGACTGACCCAAAAAATTATATGAGGGTGTAACTATTTACCATGAATTTAAACCCGAATTTATTTTACTACCCCGAACAATCCAAGTTAGAAAACCAATCAAGCAAACAAGCAAGCATATACCAAATTATACAAGAAAGTTAATAACCTAGTAAGGCCAGCGCATCCTCCAACTAAAGAAAAAGAAAATTAAACAAATAAAAGGCTTTAAGAAAACATTGCACATGGAGCATTATACATCCACTGACAATATTCAGTATCAATCACAACTTCCGACCAAGTGTAGAGAGATTCACATTAGAAAAAAAATGAAATGTTAAAATGTCATGTTTGCAAACTTGAATTCATACATTTACTACCATTAGCCATAAGCAACAAAGAATCGCTTCTGTAAATGTGACTTTTTTCCTAAATTGAACACAATACAACAAACAAAATAGAAATAGAACCCAGAATTCAAATTATGTCAAAGTGATTTCATAGTGTAACAAGCACATAATGAGTTTTTTAACAAGCACATAACAAGTCAAACTCGTTATATCTCAAACCTGTATTTCCCACAGCGATTCAAACTCAGACCACAAGCCGACACCAGATTTGTAATTTACCCCTTCGATTGTTAAGCCTTTTGCAATTTCGAAACCCTACAACATGTATTTGCATAAAAAAAAGCCTATGGTGAGGATCATTAACCTGAAGTGGGTTATATGAATGTCAAATTGAAGATGGGGGTTCTCTGAAAATCAAAAAAAGAAGCATAATCCCTAAAATTGTAAAAAAAATAAAATGTTGAACCTCATGATTAAGAGTGGCTGTTGGAACGATTGGGTCATTCGGCCTTTGCTGTGGAAGAAGGTGGAAGAGTCTCTGTCTTCTGCGATGGTGGAAGAGGGTGGAAGAGCTAGCCTCTATCTTCTGCGAGGGTGGAAAAGGCGTGAGGGCTTAAGCGGGTTGAGAACTGAAGTCGGCTGAAGATCGACTTTAGGTATACGGATGTAATGATATATTAAACACGTAGCTTGATGTATTTTTGTAAAATAAAATAATTAAATATATTATAATTTTGCTCGCGCCAAACAAGGAATGAAACGCCAAGTTTTGCCGCACAATTTTTTGTGAAATTGGGGACGGGGTTTTTAAAGTTTTAGATACAGGTGTAAAGATTGTGCCAAAAAAGAATTGTGCCAAAAAAGAAGGTTTTAGGGACAGTTAATTTAGACTTTGCAAAAAAATAAGAAAAAAAAAAAAAAAAAAAAAAAAAGAGGTTTTAGGGACAGTTTTTAAGATTGTCACTGAAACCCATATTTCTCGTAGTGATATATATTTATGTCACCATCCCAAACAAAATAAATAATCACAATATAAATAAAAGTAAGTACACATAACAAACAAAACACCACGAAGTCTATCATTATCTATTGTATCATGTGCATTAAACAATACCACTTTTGAGATCAATTTTTCGTACTTGATTTTCACATCTCCCTCTGAATTATCACAACCTGAATGCAATACATAAAGCGCAAGTGATCATCTACTTTCAAAGAAGTAACATAAACTTTTCTAATAGCAAGGATCAGTTTTTCTATAAAAAAATACTATTTACAAAGCAAAGAGCCTCGGTGCACTTCCAATGTATAGTCCACCCAATGATTAAGAGCAAATAATACTAATTTCTTATAATAATCCCGTAACACACGATAAACCAATAAATAAACCCAAAGAATGTAGGTTATAAAATCTCCTCCAATTGATCTTTAAAATATTAACATATTTCATCTCGTTTGTAACCAAAGTCTAGATGGCAACAATCTTCAACTATGCATTCCAACACTACTAATGATAAATATCACTCCAAAACAAAATGGCATCCTTGAGATTCAGTATTCCCATTCTTGGATGCTTCTGAGTCTCCTCTAATAGAATCTTCTTCTGGATCCTCTTATTCACTTTTCACTGCCTTGAAAATCACTGAAGTTGCGTTAGGTCTGCTGATGAGCGCTGAAAAGTACACATTTAAACCCATTAAGCTTAGGTATTCTATGACCTTTATCTATCTTATTCTCTCGCTTTAGATTGATTTCGTGTTATTTCCGTTTTCAGGCACTTATCCCCAAAATAAGCTAATTCAGCCAAATAAGAGCAAAATTGAAGTAATCCTTAGATGAATCAAAGAAAGGAGCAAAGTGAAAGCAAAATAAAGTAAGTGGTGAAAATTCAGCAAGTTTGATCGATCATGGAATTTCTTCAATCGATCCAGCATTGATCGATCTCAATACTTAAAGATGGATCCGAGCTCTTTTGTCCTTATCCAAAGATCCCGCAATGTTCGATTGATCAAACTTTCTTTAGATAGATCGAAAAGATTCCATCTTATCCAGTTATACCACCCCCACCTACCACTTTTGTCTCTTTCCCAAAACATCTCAAAAATATATCAGATTTGTCTTTATCCAAAAAGGCACTACCAAGAAGGATCGATCCAGCCAATGTTTGATAGATCTCAGTCATGTTCGATCAATCACAACAATGGTTCGATTGCTCGAACTTCCTTAAGTGTGAATTAATTTAATTTTCAGCTCATTAAAAGTTGTCTCATAGTCCAATCATTGAGGGAGCCTTGGTGTACGAGCCCAGACCATTGGGTGTGACATTTGACCTACCTATATAAAGATTACGAGCCACTTTTACAAAAGACGACTCTAGATAGAAATTTTCATATTCTTAGTGAGCAAGAAAAGAGAGGAGGAGGCTAGAGACACATTCTTGGGAGTTCTTCCATCTACACCAAGAAGAGGAGCAATTTCTACCACGGAGATAACCCTTGAGGGTTGGAGGAGCACATCTATGAGTGGCTAAACATCCTCTTGGGGCTAGAGTTAGCCCTAAGCATGCTTTCTATATCTTGATGTATTTTTAAGGGGATTTGTGTTGTAATACATGTTTTGACATTTATATATACATGGATCTTGTTTATTCAATGATTTGTGTGGTTTAATGCTTCCAATTGATCATTTAATTCTATTTATATGTCTATGTATGCTAGATTAGATGTTCATGTGCTTATCTCTAGCTTTTGTGTTGTTGATGCATGTTTATGTGTATTGATGCTATAGATCTAGAGATTGTCAATACATAGTGCTTAATATAATGCCCTTGTGATTTATTTGATGGTTCATACTCATTTCTTGATGGATTATACCTCTCCCTTAGTTTAACTAGTTTTATTTCATGTCATTAGCTTAGTTATAGTGTAGTTGTAGTGTAGTTGCCTTAGTTTCATAGATGGGAGGACAATCCATGCTTGTTGTTTGATGTTCCATGCTTTTGAATGCAAGTAGCATATGTCTCTAACCATGTGATGTGTTTGGATTGTGAGCTTAAAGGAAGGATTAATGGCTTAGTTTGATATATTTTACTTTTCACTATGTTGCTTAGACAATATATACTTAATTGGTCATCCATGCTAATTGAAACAACCAAACACACACACACCAATATTGCAACATATGTTTTCCCCTCATTAATTATTCATTAAGTGTGTAGAAATGTTATGCTTAGTGGTGACCTCTAAACCCCAAGATCTCTCTCTCTTATTTTCTCTATATTGCATTTACTTGTTTGCTTTAGTTTAAATTGCACTTTAGTATAATCAAATCACCAATTAATCTTTGATCACTCGACCTACTAACCCTAATCTTGATTTCACAGCCAATACGACACCAATCCCTTGGGATGATCCCTACTCACTCTTCCTACGTTAGTAGTAGTGGTGTAGTGGGTTTTATAAATTTAAACTTGACCCAAAAGGCTTTTCTTGAACCGCACATTTACTACATTATTTTGGCGTATACAAGCGGCCTCGTCAAAATTTTGGTGCCATTGCCGGGGATTGATTGAAGGCAATGTCGTATTTGTGGAAACAATTAGGAATTAGTACTCTTTTGATCGTGTCTTTACTTTATTTTTATTTTTATTTTCGTTACTTATTGTGTTGGTTGTTGTTTGACTAGGTACATTGAGCTAAAAAGGTGAACAAGGGAGTATTCTAAGCAAAGGAGCTAAGCAAAAGTAAGGAAAAAACTAAAAAGCTAAAAATTTGCAAAGCTAAGCTAAGGTTGAAAAATAATTTGAAGTGCTTAAGGACCCTTTGTGAGCTCTTCCTAAACTCAATCTCTAGTTAAATCATCGGCCCGCGTGGAGGCTTGTTTTTCAATTTCTAGATAAATCGTGAACCTGCGTGGAGGCATTTTATTTTTCTTTGCATATTATTGAAAGCATGGGAGTATGGGATTATTGTATGTGGAGGAAGTTTGTTGATTGAATTGTTGCGAAGGTGAAGTGATTGTTTGTTAATTGTTGCTTGTTTGTGTTTTGTTGTGCATGCATGGGTATAAATCATTGAAACCTACTCTTGTCTCACTTGATTCTAATCTTAAATCCGTTATTCGTAATCCTAGGGGAAGAGGTAGTTCTAGTCAATTCATTTCATCAATGGAAGACCATCATGAAGACCATGTGGAGGACCTTGGTCACATAGACCAACAAGGTATCCTCCATCCCAATGTGCATCATGACAACATGTAAGTTCCATTAGGCATGCCGAGGCCATTCACTTACCAACCACAACAACACGGCGAAGTTCCATTGGGAATGTCGAGGCCAATGTTTGCTCCACAACCTCCCATAGTACGAGGTAATCAAGGTGTTTATGTTGCACCACCAATTGTGAATCCACCTCTTGCTTTAAGAGATCACTATGTGCCGAATGAATACAATGCACCCACTTGCATTCAATTGCCACCATTTAGAACACATCACTATGAGATTAAACCGTAAACCATTCAAATGCTTCCTAACTATCATGGACTTCCAAGTGAAGAACCGTATAAGCATTTGGATGAGTTTCTTGAAGTATGTTCCACCGTGAGATACACGAACATGTCGGAAGAAGTTTTAAGACTTAAAATTTTTCCATTCACCCTTACAGACAAGACAAAATATTAGTCCAACAATCTTAGGCTTTTTTCAATAACTTCTTGGGCAAAAATGCAACAAGAGTTCTTGAAAAAGTATTATCCGGTTTCTAAGACTAATGCCATGAGGACCTCAATTCGAGAGTTTTCACAAGGGGATGGAGAAATGTTTCATGAGGCATGGGAAAGATTCAATGAATTGCTTAGGAAATGTCTACATCATGACATGCATAAGTGGCAATTAGTCCAATACTTCTTTGAAAGTTTGCCGGATAATCACAAAGGTATGGTTGATGCATCAATGGGTGGTTTTATTCTTGATAAAAATGAAAATGATGTTTGGCGTCTCTATAAAAGCATGAGTGAAAATTCAATGCATAGATCATTATCTTCCAAGAATGGTAGAAATTCAAGTGGAAGGAAGAATGTTGGCTTATATCAAGTCGACAATTCCAATGAAATAGCCGCCAAGATGAAATCTTTATCTCAAAGGTTTGATCAATTCTTGATCAACCAAAACTCAGCAAATCAATTGTCTTCTTCCCCTGACCATTCTCATCATTCATCTAATAAAACATGTATGACTTGTTCAAGTGTTTTACATTCTACTTCCAATTGTCCCAATGGACATGTGCAACGTGAGCATTATAAACAAGTCAATGCAACATTTGTTAATCAAGGGAACAATCCTTATGGCAACCATTACAATCCTAGTTGGAGGAATCACCTGAACTTCTCTTGGAAAAGCCAAGGGGAAGGCTCAAACCCTCCCCAAGGTGGTTTTCAAGGGAAGTATATTCCACCTCCAATGCAAGGCCAAGGATCCTAAGGTCTTAGATTATATTAATCACATGGAAATCAATTCTCTAATTCTCATTTTCCAAATCAATCATATTCTCAAGGAAATTCTAGGAGTCCCGCTTTTGAGGAGAAAGTTTTGACTGCTTTAGGCATTTTAGAGGCGAACACTCAATTGCTTCATTCTTACTTTCAATCCATTGCAAAGCTAGAAACCCAAGTAGGGCAAATAGCAAGCACCCTAAATGCTAGAGAGAAAGGAAAAATGCCTTTGAATGCCCTACCAAAGCAACAATGCGTTGTGGAGACTTATTCCTCATCGAAAGGTCACACAATTGAGCATGTCAATGCGGTGACGACCTTAAGAAGTGGAAAGAT